CTGGATTGCATCGATATTAGCTGGCTTTCCATTTTTGTATATTCTTTCTCCAGATAGTTGGAAAAAGTTTTCCGTCCCATATGCCGTGTGCCGCCCGGACATGCTATCATGCTAACTAGCTCCCTGAAAGCGGGTGACTCCACTGTAGCAATAGCCTGCATGTGTTCTACAACATACCGTGCAATGGCTTTATCGACTTTTCCCTGGCCAGCAGTCCTTTGGTTAAAATCCAGCCGCTGTTGCTTAGGTGGAGGTGGAGTGGCGTCGGCTGAGTCTCTGTGGTCTTAGCTACTAGCTTCGTCCCAGCATGTTGTTTTTGCAGATGTTTTAAGAGATTTGAATTACTGGTTTGGGCAGTAGATAGGATCTTTGACCCGCCAGGACACAACTTACATTTAACTAAAACGTTCTTTTCTTTGTGCTCGACAAAAGTGAAATAGTGAGAATATCTCCAGGTGGAGAAACTAGACTTGAGCTCCGCCGCCGCCATGATAGTCTTGTTAGTAAACAACACAAACACGCCCACAGCCCATCTCCGCATGTGACACATGAAGTATCAAAGTACATTTACTCAAGTACTGTACTTAAGTACAGTTCTCATCTCTGTTCTCCTGGCTGTTGACTATATATAAAAAAATAACGCAGTAACGGAGTAACGCACCATGTAGTAACGGTAACTGAGTTACTGAATTTAAAAAGTAATGCGTTAGAGTACCAGTTACTGCCAAAAATAACGGCGTTACAGTAACGCGTTACTTTGTAACGCGTTAATCCCAACACTGGTCATTATAAAACACTTATTAATGCCTTATTCTACATGACCATATTCTACAAGTAATATGCCATTAGTTGAGTTTTTCCTCAATAACCCTCTAATTAGTGCTTATTTATTGCAAGTAAGGAAGTTGTTGTACATGAGTTTTGGTCTTGCTCTGCTCAATATGGGCCTAATAAGACAGTAGTGCCTAATTTTGAGTTATTTAGACTTAATTAACACTTATAGTTTAATGTCTTGTTACATAAGAATAGATCATATTTGATCTAAAAAATATCTATTTGTGATCATACTGTGTGACCTGCTTGTATGTACTTACACAATAGGTGTAGGCCTACTGTTCTCTCTATGTGCTGTACTGTCTCAGTGTGAACATAGATTAAACAGCCAGCCAAACTCTTTTGAGAGCCAGGGAATGAGCAGCCATGCTCCTTTATTGACTTATTAGCAGTCCACTGACATTCAAACGGAGTGAAACTATAAAAAAAGAAGTTACAAGGCACTTAATGATCTCATACATGCAAGTGTAACATACACAGATTAACACATAGGACCGCTTAGTGTAAACAAGGTAAATATAGCTAATGCTAGCAGTGCAATAAGCATGTATACAGCAGTGCTTCTCAAAATGTGGTCCGCGGACCACTGGTGGTCCGTGAGCGCCCCCCTAGTGGTCCGTGAGTATATTGGTAACATTTCACATTTGAAATTAATTAATTAATTAAAGTTTTCCGCACTCTCGCGCGAATATTTCCGCAATGGAGCGAGCTTAAGTTTAACTTTCAATTGCATCATATTGCCCAGCGCAACACCTTCACCACACATGTTGCCACTTCTTTGTACCAGTTTCAGGCGATTTGTAATCTGTTCTAGAAAAACGATGTGTTTTTGGATATTTGTGGAGTTAGGTGGTCCGCGAGTGTGTTTTTATTGGTTAAGTGGTCCCTGGTATGAAAAAGTTTGAGAAACACTGGTATACAGGCTAGTATGGCTAACGCTAGCACGTATGCTAGCGCAAATGCTAACGCATTTTAATGCAGTTGAAACATCTCCAAATGTCATCACATAAACACAATACATGTTACTAATCCTTACAGTCAGTGTATGCCTATTGTAAGTGTTAGGCTTACACTTACAGTCATTGCTTTCTGACGGACTTGACCCTTACTCTTCAGGTTGCATAGGGAAAATTAGTAGTAGTCTACTGCCATTGTGGGCGGTGTCCATCAAACAAAAATGTAGAGCCAATCAGGAACTGAGAATTTAGTCCAACTTCCTTTTCAATCATACTCTCTCACACACATAACTATTCTTATGCACACACCCTATCATTCTGTTGTATACATACCTATAGTCATTCACATTAACTATTATTACCTCTTATATAAGCTATTATTCGGCCTTTCATTCACTGCTATTCTGTTTTACATATATGACTATTGTTATTAACATGAAATACTATTCCCTCTTACAAAGGTTATTATTCTGTCTTACATACATTGTTTACCGATTACACACATACTACTATCCTCTTTCACATACACTATTATAATGTTCTATTAGATTATAGTTGTTTGTGAAAGACGATAGTGGTGTGTGTACGAGAGTATGATGGTGCGTTTAAGAGATGTTGTTTTTGTGTGTGAGAGAGAAACGTTATTTATGTATGATAGTATGATAGTAAATGAAGGAAGGAATGACAGTACGTTAAAGACGGTATGATACTGTGTGTGAAAGAGTCTGGTGGTGTACATGTGAGATTCTGATATTGTTTGTAAGACCAAGTATGAGTTGTGAGCTTGACGGCCTCTCATAAGGATTCATTCAGTCTTTCTTCTTTCCTTGTTTCACCTTTTGGCTTTTGTTTTGTTTAAAAGGTATTCTGCAGTGGTTGGACCATTCCTGTTGCACAACAAAATGGCCAGTACAATACTCACCCATTCTATCTGTAATTGGTGTGCTTTCATTGACAACATACATAACAAATACTGTATGTGTTCCTGTCAGAAGAAATGAGAGCAATAAAGAAGAGAGGTCCTTTGATGAGTATGTTAGTGTTACATGTCGTACAGTTAGCGTTGATCCTCTCTTCCTTCACAATATTCACAGTGATGTTGTTTTAATATCTACTTACATACATACCTACTACATTTCTGCCTTTAAATAAAAGCACAATAAAACCTATCAGACAGAGAGGATTTTAAACGTTTATATATTTATGTTCCTAACAATGCATTCACTTAAATATAAATATATTCACTTCAATCAAATTCTTGATTTTCTCTTAGGACCGGGACAGATCATTCAGAAAGACGGGACGACCCCCTGTGGTTTTAATTTAGCAGGTCATTTAAAAGTAGCCCAGTTTCAGATCTCTTTTCATATATGACACTTTCACACATGGACAAATTGAAATATCTCAATGTCCAGGGGCACGTTTGATGTGAAATGGACTACTGTCCTATTTTTATGCTAATATAATAACAATAATCATGTGTGGTATTTATTTTAATGCTCTTCCAAGTGCTCAATTACATGACATATATTCGACGTAGATGTACTGTAATACGTTGAATACTGTGGACAATACCCACTGGATACTTGTAGGGGGATGTTTCTTGACTGCAGTAGGGGTTAAGGTGGGAAGGGTCTCCCCTGGGCCCCTGGTCTGAAGATCAGCACGCTAAACCACTGCACTTTATTGATAACTGTGTTTTATAAAAGATGCACGGTCAGGATGGATAAATGGATGAGCATTCTTCTGACTTGTTATGGTGTAATATTAGATATAGATGGATATATAGATATTGGATATTGATCCCAAATTGAGAGATTCGTTTGTTACAACATCAGTGTGTTCAGGTATTCAAATATTTAAAAGTTGGAATAAATATATATATACATAATAAAATAAAAACATTAAAAGCATATATACAGTATCTACAGTAGTAGAAAAAGACATACAAAAAAATACACAATACAAACAATTGAGATAAGTTAAATGTTCTATAAAGAACCAAAATACTGCAGCAGAACGTTGAATTTGATTTACAAACATTGAAGGAAGTGACCTGGAGTCTGTGGAGTCAGGTGTAGTGGGTCAGTGTGTGGATGTGAGAGACTCTTCCTGCCTGCATCTGCAGCTCAGTGGATCTGGTGATCTTTATCTCTATCTCACTATCTGACTTTATCTCACACACATTTTCTAATGAAGCTTTCTTCAATTCTTCTCTCACTTCTCTCTGCTGCCCTCTTCTTTGTTTTTTTACTATCTATCTTTTTCTGAGTCTTAATTTCATGTTATTCTAAACCCGCTGCCTCTTCATTTCCCTTTGTTCCAAAGTCATTTATTCTTTTGACTTCTGTTTGCTTATATATGTTTACTGTGTCTCTATTCCACTGTCCATTTTCTAATCAATCGCTTTCTCATTGTTGTTCTTTCTTTTTTTAAATCTTGTGTTACATTTATGTTTTTGTCTCACAAATTAAAAAACACATACACACATTTGCACACACACACACACACACAGTGTGTGTCGATGTGAGTATTGATCAGATCTGCTCATCTCTGCTCGTCTCGCCGCTGTAATCAAACGCGTTTCTCTTGAAATAATCACAGCACCACTTCATTTAACAACACACACACACACACACCTACAGATGCGCATCACAGCCCTCCAAATTGTCAATTATTTGACCCCATACAGTCATTGAGCAGAGATTAATACAATCAGACCCTGTTGTTCAAAACAAGAGGAAGCAGGAGCCAGCATCCTGCCCCCCCCCCCTGAATTATAGAACATTTTATACCTAAAACATGGTGAAAATTGATATTTCACAGTTGTTTTATGATTTATGGAGTGATAAAAAATCCCTTCTGTAAAAACTTTAGATTCTAATATGATTCCTGACTTTATCCAATGTTCAGATTGTTGTTCCGAAATGTATTAAAATATGCGCATATTTAATGAGATTATGGCTCATTTGCATGGTGGGGGGGGGGGAAGAGCGCTGCACCTACAAATACATTCAAATTATGTGGGAAAAACTGGATAATAATAATTTAAAAAATAATATTCTTTTAATTTCAATTTTTTTTTTCTTTTTTAAATATTGTGTGTGTGTGTGTGTGTGTGTGTGTGTGTGTGTGTGTGTGTGTGTGTGTGTGTGTGTGTGTGTGTGTGTGTGTGTGTGTGTGTGTGTGTGTGTGTGTGTGTGTGTACAGCAGTGGTCAGTGCCATCCCGGTGCCGGCCCTGGACTCCTCTCAGTACCCGGGCATCCTGCCGTCCCCCTCCTGTGGCTTCACACACAATAGTTCAGCCTGAGACCCATGCCCTTCCCCAGCCTGACCGTGGACCGAGGATACACACCAGGTGGGTGTGAGCAGCCTTCAGCACTAATATCATTTTCATATAAAACACAATATTTCAAAGGCTTTTTGGCAGGATTTGTATTCACTACATGCTAGTTAGCTGATGTTTTTACCCAAAGCGACTCAATCCAGTGATGCTACAGGAGCAATTTGGGGTCGAGTATCTTGCCCAAGGACACTTGACATTTTGAGGGTGGGATTGAACTACTAACCCCCTGATTCGAAGCCCCATTTTCCCGCCCCATTTTTCAGGCAAAACCATGTACAGGCTTTCCAAGGGCTACATCTTTTAAACAAGTCACCTGGAATTCAGTAGGGTCATTTCAATCACTGACCCCTGGGGGGTGGAATGGGGAGCCTGCTGTTGTCTATATGTGATCTTACACTGTACAGCTGAATCGTGGACATTGTTATTATCTAGTTCAGTGGTTCCCAAACGTTTTGTGCCCAAGGCACACCAAAGGACAAGTAAAAATCTCAAGGCACACCTATTGTGCAAAATAGCCCTTATAACACGTGTTATCACTCATATCATGTAAAATATCTGTAAATGTGCATAATTATTTACTAATGCCAAATAAAATGTGACAAAGACAACTATATTACTCATGAAATATTTATGAACGAAATATTTCAGAAATGTATTTGAAACTTTATCAAATTAGGCTTCATCAAAGCAGCAACACACTCCTTTAAACCAGACAGGTCACAACATTAACATTTCAGCAATCAGCATTGAAACATGTGCTATTGTAAATATTTTGCCGACTTACAAATTAGTGAGATACATGTGCCTGTCGGGGCGCGCAGAATTTTGTAATCCTTGGTGGCACTGAAGAGAGGGCCACTCGCAAGTCCTGTTCAACAGAGAGCCGTGAGTCCCGTGACCTCCTGTTGTTCTTCATCAGAGTAGAGAACGCCAACTCCAGAGATGGGGTCGTTACTAAATGTTTTTAATATATTACACTACTTTTTTACCATCTACATAAAGTAACTCGTTACTTTACTCACCGAGCACGTACGAACTGCGCATGCGTGAGTGGCAATAACTTTCCTTACCAGCAGGCGGCGGTAGTGTGTATTTGTCATTCAAAACAGGCAACAACCGGAAGACAGAGAAGAAGAACAGACAACGTGATATAAACAGACAACAAATAGCGTGTGCGGTAGCTTCACCTTAGCATGTGTTCTTTTGCAGGTGCTTGTTGAGGTTTGACGTGGTGTTTACAGCAGAGGATAACAGCTTCTGGCCTGGACACAGTTTGCACCTCACCGTCACATTCCTGTCTATTCTTCGGACGAACTCAAAGTAATGGGCCATACCTCCACCCCCGAGGAGTTATCGCTGGACTCAGCCATGTTTATGCAGCACTGCACGTGGAGATGTGGACGCGCAAGTCGCGCAGATTACGTACATATAAACCTACAAAGTACTGCTATAGTAAATAAAAAAAATATTATTTTTGTGTAGTTGTATATTGCAATAATAACGTATGGTTGTCACAAAATCCCACGGCACACCCGGAATTGCCTCACGGCACACCGTTTGGGAACCACTGATCTAGTGGACATTTCTAGCTCTGTCCCGCTGCTCCTTTGGCCCAGTAGGCCTGTAAGGCTGAGGACAAAAACCATGCCACGGGTTCAAACAACTCCACTGAGGATTATGTCCACAAGTGTGTGAATTGTTTGGAACAGAAAAATACTTCTACAGAAGTGTTGAACAAGAGTAAAAAGCTTCACGTTATGAAGGAACGGTCCATTGACATTGACATATGACATTATATTGCTGTGGATGGCATCAAAGAGTCTGGAGAGAATTGAAGAATGAATTTGAGGAAAAAGTGAAAAAACGTTGCAGTGAAAAAATTAAACTGAATCATCTGAAAATATATTTAGATGAGAGATTTCTGCAGCTGGAGGACAAACGTGCTGCTGTCAATAAAGCTGTAAACTGGAAGGGCTCTGGCATCTTTATCAATAAAATAAACTTTATTATTTTAAGTGGTGAAAAAAAAATCAAACTGGACAAATTGCGTACGATGCATACAACAGTTAATGAGGGACACATAATAATAATAATTAGCACACACTAATAATATACTTTAAATATTAATAAGTAAACAAACCAACTTAGCAGGGACACAGACAATGAGACCGTGAACTCCACTCGTTTAAATGTGAAGGTGATAAGACTGAGAGGAGGCAGATATGATCCCAGAGATAGATCATTATTTGTTTGTCTTTTTAATGAGAAAGGCTCATTTCACTGTTGCTTCAGCAAAACAAACAACTCGTCTGTGTTTATTACACTTCCTGCTTGAAGTGTTCCCTTTTTTCCTCTGATTCTGTCGTTGTTTTTCAAAGAGAAATTATTTCGGAAGTGTATCCATCCTCTGATCCTTGGAGAGTCCGATAACTGTGATATGTCTTTGCTAATGTGCTGATTACATCAGACTAAAAGGTCATTCAAAGAGCCACATTTGTTCATGCCCATGTTGACAGATGTATTGGTGAAAGTCTGCCCGAACCACCATTACTAGTGAAGTGTCCATTCCCAGTCCACTCAGAAGTTTAGGGGTTGATAGGAGTGACTTTTTCACAAAAGTCAAATAAGTATGTTGATGTAGGAGATGTTTTGTTTTGATCTCTGTGGTTTAGTGATCTGAGACTAACTAGTAGTGTGTGTCCCAATGAGTAGGAGTTACTGCACACGGACATGTATGTAAACTAACTCAGTGTTCCTTTGGGACTGGCTGTTGCAACAGTTAGAAGGCTAGTTCTGCTAACTCTCAACTGCTCATCCTACTGACAGAGCACTTTGCCTAACACTGACCGTTACGACCCGTCCCCCTACCAAGCGGTAGTGGCTCATGGGAAGACCCGTAACTTAAAAACAAACCACGCCAAACAAAAAATATCGATAAGGACGGGCATTTATTGTCAGCACAGCCGTAACTTACATGCCTACCGGCAAAAAGAAACCAAGTCTGGAGGACGGCAATAAACAAACAAGAAGGGGGCCTGGGCCAGCCACACCATGGGCCGTAGGACCCAGACTTCCCTCCTCTACCCAGAGATCTAACACAACCTACTGGGAAAAAAACAAAGCCGCGAAAAGTCCTACACTAACATCCTCCAGAGTTCACACAGTATAAGACAGCAAAGAATAATGGATCCACACGTGGGGTGAGAGGAAATCCACGGATATAATCCCTCGGCATCAGGGCAGGAAAAGAGAGCCTCTTCTCCTCCAGCTTCTCCTTTTAAAGTCCCCAGCTGAATGTCATTAGGACACCTGGGGGAGGTGGAGCCAATGGTGGACCAGGTGTACCTGCGCAGCAGAGAGACAGAGAAAAGCAACACAAGCACGTAACACTGACCATGTTCTTTTTTTGACACCATATCATTTCTAAATGTAACCAAACATTAAGCCAGACATGTGTGACTGGCTCGAATTTAGGTTAAACTGTTTTTTTTTGTACATAATCATCAGAGGTTACAGTGTTGATGCTCCAGAGATGTCTACTGAAGTGAGCCTGAGAGGCAGCTGTTGGTGTGTGCTAAACATGTTTCCAATAACTGATGACTACGTTGTATGGAGCCAGTATTACTGCCCCCTGTTTCTTTGGACCATACCTCCATGCTTAACACATTGTACATTTGACAATGCATGTGTGAAAGGCACTGACAAATGATATGCTGCTGATAGGGGTGTTAGATCCAACGATCCACAATGTGTCAGTCTGGATTTCAATTGAAAGGTATACTGGTTATAGCTGCATATGCTTGAAAGATTAGAAAAAAGAGCTCTCTTCCGTGATGAAAACTCTAAAAGTCAAATTCCTTGAGATTTTTTCTTTGGTTGCCGAACGTCCTAGATCAGAGTTCTTGTTCCTCTTTCCTTTGGGCTCACTTGAGATTTTCCTTTGCTCTTTGTCGTTCCTCTCCCATGGGGAGCAGCTCTCCTCTTCTTCTGTGGTTAATGCACTCACAGGGACTACATGTAGTCACATCTGTCTGCTCTGCCATGTTGGCTGTGATTCGGCTGACTGGAGCTACACCAGGAGTTTCATCTTCATGTCACATCTGAGCGTGTTACTGCACAAGTAACTCTGGAAGTGTTTCTCTTTTCTTTAGCAGGAAGCTCTTCTTGTTACAACTTTCTTTAAATGTAACTCTGACAAGAACAATTGGGATTTCACCTGTGAAGACATTCAGTCTACATATAAGTACAGAAAGAACAGCGAGAGACTTGAAAGTAAAAGAATACAACCGCAGAGCTCAGGGTTCTCTCATGTTTGTGGATACTGTAAGGGAAACTTCTGCAGCAATGGAGAGTCAGGACTCAGAGAGACACGAGGAGAGCTGGAGCTTTGATGTCAAACACTGATGGTTTATTACTAGTATCGGCCGGAGGATTCACATCACAAGTCACAGCAGCCAGAGGTTCAGCACGGGAGAGTGTGAGCTGCAGGCGTGGTCAGCTGCAGCTCACAGAATCAGCCCTTGCAAAAACAGGGCTGGAAAGAGCAAATAGAGCAAAATGAGGCATGGCTAAAAATGCAGGATCTGTTTGGTATTTTGAAAAAAAACTATATTTATATACTTTATATAGGTATGGCCCTACAAATATATGTTTCAAATATAGCATAATAGGTCCCCTTAAGGAAGATAACAGAGTCAGGGTTGGTCATAAACGTCAAAGGACAAAAAGGTTAGATATCTTAGGAGTAAAGGAGTTAAAATTATTCCCTAACAGATACGATTGATATTTGAATAAAGTTGAGGAATATACTATTTTAAATATCCATAGGCCTTTCAGTATGAACAAGACAACATATGATATTTATTTTGCTGGGCATAGAGAACACAACTTTAAAAAACAGAGTCTGTTACAAATCGCCATGCTTTTCCTTTTCCTTTCAGTACATCCTGCAGCTGCCCTTACATGCATTATGTACAATTAGGACACACTGCTTTGTTCTGACAGGGAGTGTGAGCTCACCTGCACAGTGGTTTGGATCAATGCAACTGACACACGGTCGTCCTGCAGCAACATCATCAGAATCAGAATACCTTTATTGAGGGGAAACATCTGAGCCGACACTGTCTATGAAATAAACACAGAAGTGCATTTGGATATAATAATAATAATAGTAATAATAATACACCTAATTTATATAGCGCTTTTCAAGACACACAAAGAAGCGATATGCAGGCTAAACGCTTGAAGCTGTATTTTTCAAATATATGAAGTGTTTTTCTGTCTGTCCTTCTTTCTTTCCTCCCATCCCAATATCCATCTCTGACATCCCACATCTCTTTCATCCTCTTTTTTTCTCCTTCTTCTTCCTCAGCCATGACTGCAGAGGCCTCCACCAACCCTCTGCTCCAGCAGCAGCCGCCCCCCCAGCCGGTGGCTCCGCTCCTCCCCGGGTCCTCTGCCCCGCCCGGGGACCATGTTCCTGGGGTCGTTGCCATCCCAGGGGCCCCTGCTGCTGCTGCCGCCCCAGAGGAGGTCCAGACAGGAAGTGGGCGGACCATCCCCACAGCCTTGCGTGCGGCCCACCCACCCCCTCGGAGCTTCACCAACCCACTGCTGCCAACCCCCCATGGGGACCATCGACCCAAAAGTGTACACCTCCATGCTGCCGCAGTCGAGTGAGTAACATCTGATCACAAACAGACATAAAGACACGCTTTCTTAAACCTCTTTCTACCGTGAAGTTACACAACCTGGCAGCGTCTTTCGGTCCCCGACCCAGTTTAGATTTGACCAAACCGGCTTCCGAATGATCAATATATCTTTTTCAAAGTACATTGATGGAAAGAGCTCTTCTTTTGTATGAAAGACGATCACAGTTATGCAGGGCTAGTTAATGTTATTTAATTTTTTTTATTTATGAATTCACCATGGATTTATTAGTAATACACTTGCAAACAATAAGTAGCCTTAAATCTCTTCTTTTTACAGTGTTTGAGTATATGTACTTTGTCACTTTCCAACACAGTCAGGTTATATTAAATATTATGCTTGCCCAGGACCGCCGTAACGATTTCCTGCACGGCTTGCACTGACTGCAATGGGAGGAGCTATAGCTGCATTCAGCCGCTCAGCCCCCAGTCAAGTTGTCTCTAAAGCGAAGGAAGGAGGAAGTGAGGGGGCGGTACTAGGAGAGAGGCGGTTAGCTAATTATTTGTGTTCTAAAAAACAGCTCATATCGGGTTTTTCTCCCCAAGCTAGAGTAGAAATGATATAAGCTGAGCATTGTTACCATGGGGACAGAGTCGTGCGGAGCTTAGTTGATGCAGAAGTGGGCTTGGTTTAATCTAAAACTGAGTTTGAAAAACGATAGATGCAACCTGGCAAATCATGGAATAAAGAGACATATCGTTATATGAAAATAACGTAATGAGACATTAAATGAAAAAACATCAGCAGAATGATTCAAGCTAGGATTGTGATAATTCATCATGCTGTCGACTAAAGTGTTGAATTGTTCTTTCCTTTAGACTCATGTAAACATTTGATATCATAACTAACAAACATCTGCTGAGACAAAGGGATCTTACAGACATGTGTCATTATGATATTACAGCACAAACACGCCATAACACTTTGCAGCTCAGTACAGTTGGTCATATTTTTCATCTGATTGCAATTTCTCATGTGGCAGAGGAACGTTTGTGTGCTTGAGGGGCCGTGCGTGGTTGAGATGTGGAGAGTGTCCTTTCTATCCAAACCCACAAATACAGAGGAAAGGGAAAAATGGAAGAATAAGATTTGGGACAGTAAAACACAATTTGTTTATTCATTTCTATAATAACCTTATTTTAATTTGGAATGTAGGGACGTTTTATTTTATTTGTTCAAGAACCAACAGTGATTGCATTCTGTCACTGCCTCTCGAAACTAATTGAGCAGACCCGATATAAAGCACATTCATATTTTACTGTAACTCTTAGCACTGATCATATGAATGGACTTGGGTTAGCAATGAGACGTATTCACAAAGGGGCTAATTTTGTGACAAATGTATACATATTATCTCATTTAAGTATTCGAAAACAGCCCAGGAGCAGCTGGGTGGGTGGATGGGTGTGTGTGTTTGTGTGTGTTCCTGAGGCAGTGTACTGTAACTGGCCTTGACATTAGCCGGGGGTTGGATGTGATCTGCACTCCGTGGGATTTGATCAAGATCAGTCTGCACAACTTCCTACTGAAACATTGTGACAAACATCACTTGATCAAATAGTCACGGTGCCCAGAGGATAAACAGAATGGACATTGGCAATATCCTTACCTTTCTCTATTTATTTTCATCTATTATGTAACTATTATGTTTATTTATTTTATGAAGTATTAGCATCATGGTGAAAGTCCATCTCTCTGATACTTTAGTTACAGATGAAAGCAGTCCTCTGAACGTATGTTAGAGAAGCCATTAACCAATCAGAGTTTGAGGATTCTGTTAGCCAATGACTGAGCTTTGACAACAAATACCAGTGCTGTTCAATCAGAATCAAAACGACTTTCTTATGAATATGTATTTCATCCTCTTAAATTAATTTAATAAACCTGGGGCGATCCAATGCATTTTGTTGTCCCAGGTTGTTGTACTGTTTATATTTCCATAAATCCCAGCTTAAAGTATTTAGTAAGTTATTGTTCCACAGTGAGTGTGAGGAAAACTTCTGTTATCAATGCTGAGCCAATGCTCGTGAAAGGAATGGAAGCTGGATTCGCCTTAGTCCAACACAGACATTTATTGAGAGTATATTACGGCCGGAGAATTCACAAGGTATATTCACAACTTCTTTATGAGACACCAAGCAAACTCTGAAGACAAAGGCAGAAACACAGATCTGTATATCCCAATAAAGGAGGGATCTAAACAGCCCGCCTTTTCCCCTAATCATTACCAGACATTGGAACAAAAGCCTGGTTGTATTACAAATTCACAAGAGCCAAACTTCTCCCCCACAGGAAAGCAGAAGACCTCTTGACCTGTGTCCTCCCCCAAGTTACAAGCAGGAGCACATGCGACTCACCAAAAGCACGTCTGTTAAGCAACAGTTTATAAGAAAGACTGAGAATCTCTAAACACACAGATCGGATTAAAATATTCTCTCACAGTCCTCCCTTTTTATCAATTTATGATAACCAATTAACATTAGTCTAAGAATATTTCAGTCAATACTTAAATCAATAAGCGTCTTCAGAGTTGGGTGGGCTCACATACATCAATTACATCAAAAAGTAGAACAAGACTGAAAACATTTCAATCACCATGAATGAACACAGTCAACCATAATAGAAACATCATCTCTCTTCAGTGTTTGGCATCATTTGTCAAAAGCACAATAAACACATGGAATACAAAAATATAATAGCAGAATATATGTTTCAAAAATAAGACCTTTATCATTTATCACTCAGTTAATCTCATTCATCAAACACAAATTCAAATTCAGCTTACATCTCAAAGATTTACTTCAAGGCAATTACTTATTAAAACACAATTAGAACTTAGAAAATAAAACCTTAGAGGGATAGCGCAATCCTTCTAAAGATATTCTTTATTCCCTCTGTAAGAGCCAGTCTTTAGTTTTTGTAAAAAAGGCCAAATATTGTCATCTATCCTGACCTCTGTAGGCAAAGAAGTATATAAAGACTACATTTCCCACAGCGCCAGCCTCTATAGAGACGCAGAGATGGGCATCCTGTGTGGAAGACGCCGCTGAGACACAGTTTTAATCGTTAAGTTATCGTTTAAAATGATATAAGCCTACACAAAGAAAGAGAGAGGGACAAGCTAATTTGATAGTTATCTTATTTGAGTTTTTCCTTTTTTGTTTTGATTAGTTTGACTATTGTAAAGGCCTTTTTCCTGTTGACTACATAAGAAAGGGGGGTGGAGTAGCTATTTTGTTTAATGACTTATTTCAATGCAAGCAGACTATGTATGGAAACTTTGCTTCTTTTGAATATGTGGCCCTTCAGCTGAAATGCTCCTCTCGAGCTCTTTTCCTAAATATCTATAGACCACCCAAATACTGTGCAAGCTTTTTGATGATTTTACCGAGTTGTTGTCTATAGTGTGTATTGACTTTGACCGTCTAGTCATTGTTGGTGATTTTAATATCCATGTTGACAACCCTCAGGACAGAGGGGCTAAAGAACTGTTTGTGTTATCGACAATTTTTGACTGACTCAGCATGTCAAGGGTCCGACGCACAATAAGGGGCACACCCTGGACTTAATTGTATCAAAGGGTCTAAACTAGGGCTGTCAAGTAACGCGTTAACGCAAAAAAAAAATTAACGCCACTAATTATTTAACGCGATTAACGCATGTGTATTTTTTGTCCTCGGGCCGCCCCGTAGTTTTCAGAGTGCATCGAGTTTAAAATACCATCTACAAAGCTGATGCTGACAGCCCCGCTCCTGCCGCCCGCTTGCTGCAGACCACACTTCCACGCTCACCGCAGGCCACCGACTGGCCATCGGGAGGACCGGGAGGGTGTGTGTATGTGTGGCGCGAGCGAGAGAGCGAGAACGTGCACACCTTACGTGTATTGTTGTTGTTAGCATCTGGTGCTAGCTAGCTGCACTAACGGATATAAGGAGCTGTTTCAATGAAAACAGAGGAGCGACATTTCGCCGACAACTGCGCAGAGCACTTAACTTTATGCAGGAAGCCAGACAGTGGGACATTGTACGAAAAGTCAGCACACTCAGCACGGATAGTGCGCAACATGATTGCAGCGTCCAGGCAGCTCCCGTTCGAGCAGATGCCTTGAGTTGCACATAGCTCCAACGATCCATCACACACACACACACACACACACACACACACACACACACACACACACACACACACACACACACACACACACACACACACACACACACACCACACCCACACACACACACACACACACACACACACACTGTATTGTATGAGAGAGGTTCCAGGTTGAATTGAGGCGGTTCTTTTAATGTTCAGCAGAGGTTGTTATGTTTAATAGTCATTAGAATATTTGTCATTGATAAAATGATAATAAACATTACCATAAAGCATATTTGTCCACTCATATGTTGATAAGAGTATTAAAAACTTAAAATATCCCTCTAAGGTACATTTAGAACAGATAAAAAATGTGCGATTAATTTGCGATTAATCGCGATTAACTATGGACAATCATGCGATTAATCGCGATTAAATATTTTATCGACTGACAGCCCTAGTCTAAACATCTCTAAGCTTGTGGTGACTGATGTAGCGCTCTCCGACCATTCCTGTGTTTTCTTTGAGAGCTCTATTACCGTCCATACAACTGTTAAGAAAGAGGTAACCACTAGACGTCACTTAACTGAAAATGCAGAGGAAATGTTTGCCCAGATTTTTACTCCCTCAATTGCCCATGCTAACTTCTCAGTAAATGAGCTAGTTGATCATTTTAATTCTAAAATAACAAATGTCATGGA